GGGAAAACGAGCAAATGTGAGAAGCATCATAGCTCAACCGGGGCTGGCTGCATTTTACTGAAGGTGACTTACATCATGGAAGCCGGAGAATATTCGATAAACATTCAATACTTTTTGAAAGCAAATGCAGCAATGCTACGGTAGCAAACATAACTACGCACCCACATGTGGTATCTGGCCTCATAACTTGGTGAAAGGCGATTTAAATGATAAAAGAAATCCATTGGATTATTAACTCAAAATAACAGCGACCCCGCCAGGATTTGAACCTCCTGATTCGTAGTCAGATGCCTTATCCGTTGGGTCACGGGGCCTTTCTTAATAAAACTGGTCAAAGCGTGGAAAAGGCGTGAATTACACTCAAAAATGAAATCTACTCCCATCAAGAAACAACTCATTCATTAAACTCTTACTACTTATGCTTTTGATGTTGAAGTTGTTTGTATACAAGGCCTGAGAAATAAAATATTTATATTTGTCGTTCTGGTTGTTTCTCTTTCTTTTTCTACCAGATTTTCTCTCGATTCTTTGCACAAGGATGAAAGAAGCAGAGCATGATTTAACCGTAAAAAAAAAGTAAAATACTTTTGTAAACACTGACAACAAGCTCGACTTTTATTTGATATTGCGAAATTCTAAGATAAACCCTGGATCACGTCTTTCCCTCTGGAATATGTGAGAGTACGTCTCCTTCATTTTCTTTTCATCATCCTACATAATCACACTGATTTGACTCTTCATTGAGGAGGACAGAAATCATTAATGATCAGTGATAAATTAAACCAATTTCCATGGTAGATACAGAAGGATTTCCGGTGGAGGTACTATTTCACCAAAGGATGACGTATGTCGTATATTATAGAATTCGAAGCCGGAATCAGAATGGAAAAACAAATAACTTGTTTGAAAAGCACGTGTTGCGATGTTCTTCTACCAAACATAACTTAATTTCTTATTCAGCCTAACGACTTCATGAAAGCAATTAAAAGGATGAAGGAAATTCAGAAGATACAAAGATTATTTCACCAAAACAACAGCGACCCCACCAGGACTCGAACCTGGGCCACGGGGCCTTTCTTGAGACAGATGAGTGTCAAAGCATAGAACCCTACAGAAGAAAGCGGCAATTCCCCTGCAGGTGTACAGGAGGCTTAATCTCTCCGAAGAAATATTCCATTCACTTTCAGAAAAATTCACCTATGTCGAAGAGAAAGACTAAACCATAATCCCATTTTAGCTCTCAGTCAATTAGAATCTTCTAATCTATTAGCCCCGGCAGTGTTAAATGATTTTTTTATGCCACTGTGAAAACATCGTACCGCCAGAAACGGTTAACAAGCTGACTTTTGGGGAAAACCTTAGAGGAAAATAAATGAAAATTGATAAACATTTAAAAATAAACGGCACCGTTTTACCTCACGTCGCCATTAAGTGACATCTTAATTCACTAAATGCAAGCGCGACTACAACCTCGAGAAACTTCACCCCGGAAATCCGGGGCTGTGAGATTGTATGTAAACGCGGGCCATTTTTCTACCACGGCTAAGCGGGTTACATCACCTATCTGGGGTCCCTCACCTCCATGTTAACAGGCCCTAGCATAGGATAAAACACGTATTTCGTTTTCCCTCGTGAATTTGTTCCTTTCTACAAATATCAGCATTCTTTTCGTTTTATGCAAAGGATAATTTCTGAGCTTCTGCTCAAACTAAATCAGTAACCCTATTTCCTCGAATAGGCGCCCGGATGCTTATTTAACATTTCGGCTTAAATTTGAGGGGAGGTTAATGGAAGGCACTCAGTCGAAGTAAAACGGCAAAGAAAATTAGCGGTTAGACGTATAAAATTGACGAATTTTTAACCGTTAGTCGTATTAAAAGTTAATTGTAAAACATTACTGTTAAAACCGTTAGTCGTAAAAGTCATCACCCCTAAAGTATTTTGAAGTTATTTTGTTTTCGGTATTTTCACCTTCGTGATCGCTGGCACTCTGGACACGGAGTAAGCATTCTTTAACCAATTTATTTAATGTTCGCACATTTTCCTTTGGACGAAGGAAACCCGCTCAATGACATCAATTATTCTGCTGTGAAGGGTTCTATGTACATCGTTGTCCGCTGATATTTCACGTGTTATCCATCATCGACTTAACATTATAAAAGCGTTATAATGGCCAACTATGGTTGGCTTCAACAAAATTCTAGTGCCCAGACTTAATACTTCAAATCCGGCGTGATTCCACAAAATGACGGCATAAACACGTTACCATGCAACTAGTCATAAACAAATCGAGACTTTGTTTCGCACTAAGAGCTCAGTTCATGCTATAGCACCGTGAAAGAGAATGCATTTTTCTAGTTTATCCAATGCTTTGAATGAAGACATCAGTTACAAAATGAACAAAAACAACTCAGGTGACAAAGAGTCTGTGAGGAAATCCTGTTCCGCGAGAATATTTGATGAAGAAGTCAATGTCACAAATCTTTCTGCTGAGAATTAT